CCAAGCATTCCCCATCTCCTTGCCACCATCTCCCCCCCATCCGCTGAATTCCTGCCCTCCTCCCCAACCCAGCGTGACAGGCTCTCGAGACCCCACCACGGCAGCTCTGCACGTGGTTCTGGGCCACCGCATGCCTCTGGACGTGGCGAGAATCACCACGTGGAAGGAAGAGGAGCAATCAGGGAAGCAAGGCGCGCAATCAGATGAGGAAAAAGAGGAGGAGAGGGGGAAGGCAGAGAGAGGTGGAGATATTGCGGGCAGTGGAGGCAGGGAGGACTGGGGAGCAGGAGAAGCGGAGCATGCGAGAGAGGGGTTTGTGGGTGGAGATGGAAGAGATATGGCTGGGAGCGAAACAGAAGGGGCTAAGGCAAAGACAGAAGAAAAGGAGGAGGACGACGAGGGTGTGGAGGTCCGCTATGCTGCATCCTTTTTCGGGTGCGTGCATGTGATGTGATGTGGTGTGGTGTGGTGTGATGTGGTTGATGAGTTCAGAGGGTAGCCTCTTCTTTGGTCACTAGTTGCTGCTAGCCCAGTTTAGTGCCTCTATCTTCTTCCACTTTGTCTTTTTCCTCTTTGTCTTCTTCTGCTTCTGATTCTCTTCCTGTTCCCCCGCTCAGATATGGGTTTTATGGCGATGTGATTCGCCGCAGCGAGGGGCTCAGATGGATGGGGCCAGCGCGGTACGACTATGCTGGGCTCATGACATACCTGCACCACAGGTGGGTGCACTGCGGTGAAGTGTGGTGTAGTGGGATGGAATGAGGCTGAACATTAAAAAATGAGGTGTATGGTTGCGAGATAACCAAGGCAAGTCAAAATAACTCTGTCTATGTCCTCCCTGTTTGTCCACATTCAGCCTCCTTGCCCCATATGTGCATATCTCATCCCCTTTGCTTATCCTCCTCCTCTGCCTACCTCATCCCTTCCTCTGCCTGTTCCTCCTCTTCTTATCCCATACCTTCCTCTTCCCATCCCCGTTCTGCCTATTCCATACCCTCCACCCGGCATCAGATCGTAAGATGCTGAGGCGTCCTACTTTGTTGTGCACTCATCTGCTGGGTGTTCTCCTCGACCCCACCCACCACCCCTTCCTCTGTGCATCTCACCAACCTTTCCCTACTCCATCCCACCCACCCGCCATCAGGTCGTATGATGCTGAGGTTTCCTACTTCGACGTGCACTCCTCTGCTGGACCAGCCTCAGGAACGCCCCCCAGCCAAGACTCAACAGCACAAGAAGGGTGCACGGAGGCTTACCCCTCTACCTACCCCGCCTCGCCCACCCATCACCAGGTCGTACGATGCCGAGGTTTCCTACTTTGACGTGCACTCCTCTGTTGGGCCAGCCCCATGAGCACACCCGGTCAACCCAGAATCAACTCCCTATCTCACCCCGTCCACCTCTCCCATCATCAGATCGTACGATGCCGAGGTTTCCTACTTTGACGTGCACTCCTCTGTTGGGCCACCCCCAAGACCTGCAATCCAAGCGTCCCCTGTCCAAGGAGCAGGGTCGGAAGCATCCCCATCCGCAGCAGCAGGTTCGGAAGCATCTGCAGTCCAAGCAGCAGCAGGGTTGGGAGAATCCCCATCCCAAGGCGTTCTCGCGGCCCCACTGCTGGAAGCAGTGTCACCACTGGAAGCGGGGCCGGTGAGGGGGCTAGAGAGGAGCTTCAGCTCCCTAGAACGCACGGTCTGGATGTTGAGGAGGAGGAGGTTGGGGAGATGGAGGATGGGGAGGAGGAGGTGGGAGAGGAGGTGTTTGACGAGGAGGGAGGGGTGGGAGGAGAAGGGAAAGGAGAGGTTGAAGGGCGTGGAGAGGGGAAGGGAGAGGGTGGAGGGGGTGGAGAGGGGAAGGGAGAGGGGAAGGGAGAGGAGGAAGGGATGCCATTGCAGGCTGTGGAGTGGAACGGAAGGCTGCGGCGCCGCACCTTCAGCAGCCCCATGCTGGTGAAGACACGGTGAGAGGGAGAGAGATGAAAGCTGGAAAGATAAGGTACAGAAACGGCGGAAAACACCATTGCTGGAGGGGAGGGGCCTGCCTAGGTGTGTTACTGACGGCGCCTGCCTAGGTGTGTTACTGAAGGCGCCTGCCTAGGGGTTTTTTTTCAAGTGTCAAGAATGAGTGAAAGGCTGCTCGAGTGGGCTTTTTTAAAGTGTGTGATCTTGGATCAACAGCAGTGACCAATCCTGATCCATAAGTTTCGTGTCTTTTCTTCCTTGTGTTGCATGCATGACTCCTATGTTCGGCACCACCAGCACAAGCAGCAGGCGCAGTATCAGCAGCATGAGGCGCAGCAGCTTCCCAGACATGTGCACTGCAGGATGCACTGTGTGCGCCAGCAGCACCGATCTCTCCCAGCTCGCACGCTCCTCCCACAGCCTCCTCACACTCGACAGCTCATCACTCGACCCGGCCCAGAACTCTCACAGTCAATCGGGTGCTGCCACGTCAGCACCTGTGGGTGTAGCTGAGCAAGAGGAGTTATTGCAGAAAGGAGGGCAGAGTGGAGAGGGTGTGTGTGCGGTGGGGGGGACGGAGAAGCAGAGTGAGGGGCTGAGGCCCTGTTGGAGGATGGTGCGAGGAAAGTTCCACAGTGTGGGGGCGGCAGTGATGTCATGCCGCAATGACAAGGCGCCAGATGGCGTCGCGGCACAGGCCCACCTAGCGGACGGCAACCTGCATCTCATCCTCATCCGCAAGTGCTCCCGCCCCGAGTACCTGCAGTAAGTTTTTGAGGCGCCTTGTAAACAGACCCAGCCCGAGTACCTGCAGTTAGCTCCCGCCATCCGTAGTTCTTCATTTGCGTTATTTCCAGGTGCCTTGGCGATGTTGCATATGCCAAACGCGTACCTTTTACTTTCTGTTCCCTTGCTTTCTCTCATCTCCGCACCTCCCACCCCCCTATGGCAGTCAGCTGACTCGTCTCGCCCGCAAAGGGGCCGATCCATTCGCCTTTGACTTTGTGGAGACATACAAGGTACAGTGAACAGTTCAGTCTGCAAACTGGATATTTTCCCTGCAGAGTACTAAAAGGCGCTACAAATTCCACCGTAAGCACCTCATTATGCTTGTTCCATTCCCACTTTTCCTCGCACCCTCCCGTTTGCCGCTGCATTTGTGCTGCATATGTTCTTATCACTAGACCCCTGCCTTCATGTTCACATCTCACGGGAAGCAAAGCACGTGGAATGTGGATGGAGAGTTGGTGGTCGCCTCTCAGCTCTCTGCTCAAGTCTTTCGCGGATTAGTTGACATATTCGCATCTGGACCTGAGTTTTGATTTGGTTACGTACTGAAATTTTTGATTTATATTGTCATAAGCTATATTGTACAAACACTAAACCATATGTAACTAACCTGTCGTATTTCACTTCGTGTAGGCACTAAACCCTAAACAATTTGTATGATTTGCAATAAACTGTATTGAATCTTCCATACCCGTCATCATCTTGGGCTCCTTGGGATTGCCACTCTTCAATTCTGCTCGCTTTCTCTCACCAAGTCCGCAGCTCAGCCTTTCTATGGGCTATCTCTCTCATGCTGACAGCACCTCGAGTCGAAGTGGTGGATTTCCACAACACGCTCGATCTGACCTGACTCTGCCTTTTTTGCCTGTCATTCGCAATTATCAAGGCTAGATATTCCAAATCCGTTGGACGGCAATCAGACCTGCGCATTTCCGCGACCAGACACTCGCAGACTGGCATTAGGCATTTGCAGGATTGGCGATCAGGCTTTCCGACAGGCGTTGAGACATTTGCAGATCGGTTGATAAAGTTTTACGGAAGCGCGTATAGTCATTTGCTGCAATGTCGACGACTTACGACGAGCTCGTATCGGCGCGGTCGAAATTCGAGGAGCTTATATCGAAGATCCTCTTTACAAAGCAGAAACAGATCAAAGCGCTTGAAAGCGATGGGGGTAACGAGACTGCTAAAAACGAGACCGCTTCCGCCGCTCTCGCCGACATTCAGGAGTTTTCAACAGAGGCCTCTGTGATTCTCCTGGATCTACGCCGTCTGAACCGTCAGATCTTAAACGACGAGGAACGGGTTAAATCGGAGACCGAGGCGGCGCGAGCTCCTGTAGACACGACCGCGCTCAGGCTCCACAATCTTCAGTACAAGATGAACCACCACGCGAGATCGATCGCCGCGTATAGGGATTTCGTTTCGCGGCATCCGGACATTGAACTGGTTAGCGCGCACGAGTTCTTTATGGATGCACCGGAGAGCCTTAAATCGGAGCCGGGGCTGGAAAAGGATCCGCACCGGCTGATGCTGCAGCGACTCAACTACGAGCTCCATCAGGTATGCTTGTTCTACCGAGTACTCTGTACTTAAAGGTACGCCTGGTAACTTGGTACGCTAGCGACAGCTGCGAGTTTATGATACATTCGTCCGGAGTCGATCCAGCAACGAAAGACCGACCCCTTATCATTGCAGCAACGTCCTTCCATACTTTGCGTACCCCCAATTTTGCGGTAGGAGACGGTCCGCTCGCAACAGTTGCTAAGATCTCAGGGGTTTTTATGCGATCCGTATTCAGGTCTCTTCCTCTTGTATACGAAAAATTCCTTTCTACGTTTCTCCTCCTCATCCAGCGCAAGGAGCTGGTTCGCGCGCGGGAAATGCTTGAAATCCGACGGCGGACGCTCCAGGAGAGCATCAGCAGCCGGAAAAAGTTTTTGGGCAGCCTTCCCGGGCAGCTGAAAGCCCTGAAAAAGGCGTCCGGTCCGCTTCAGCAGCAAATGGGGATGCAGCACTCCCGGCGGGTGAAGCAACACCGCTTAGCGTCCCTCCTCCCTCCGCCTCTTTACGTTTTATACTCGCAATTAGCTGCTCGGAGGGGCTCGTTAGAAGAAGCGATAGAGGTGGAGATTGAAGGGAGCGTTAGAGAGGCTGAAGCTTTCGCTGCTATGGTGGAAGAGAGAGAGGCAGCAGCGGCTGCCGCTGCCTCTGCTGCTGCAGCAAGAGGAGGGGGTGAGGAGGGTCAGATGGGGGAGGAGGAAGAGGGGGAGGAGGGAGAAGGGGAGAGAGAGCGGGAGGATGAAGAGGAGGAAGGTCTGAGGAGGAGGCGACGAAAGTCGGACACTGAAAACGACGCCGCAGGAGCTATTGCTGCTGATGGTGCCGCTGCTGCTGATGGTGCTGCTGATGGTGCTGATGGTGGTGGGAACGGCGATGGTAACGGTGGTGCTGATGGTGCTGGCGCTGACGGTAACGGTGGCGGCGGTAATGGTGGCAGTGGTGGTGATGGTCTGGGTACCATGGGCACTGCTATTGTGATAAGTGACGGGGGAGGGAAGCAGGCGCAAGCGAATGCGGTGACCCGCGCAGCTGACTTGATTGGCGCAGTGGACTCCCCCCATCCGCTGGCGGTGGTGCTCCGCCTGCTGGATGCGCGAGAGAGGGCGGAGCGGGGGAACGCGGAGGCTGTTGGTCAGGGCGGGGAACGAGGGGCGGAGGAGGAAAAGGTGGAGAAGGAGAAGGAGAAGGAAAAGGAAAAGGAAAAGGAGAAGGAGAAAGGGAAAGAGAAGGAGAAGAGCAAGGCGAGGGAGAAAGAAGACGGCCAACAGCCCGCGCTGCTCGTGCTCCGCTTCGAAATGCTCTGGAACCTCGGCGTCATCTGCGTAGGCCCCGTCGAATCCCAATCCCCTCCCCTCCTCCCCTCCTCCTCCTCCTTCTCCTTCTTCCCCACCCCTCCCTCCCCCACCCTCCCCCCGTCCCCTCTCTCCCTCCACACGCTCCTCACCAACCTATTCCCGGAGGACTCAGGCCTTCTCTTTCCGAATATGGCAAAGGAGCCGTTAGCGCGGGAGAGTGGGTTCGTGGCGTCTCTCCCTGCGCGCGTCTCCCGCCCCTACAATTGGGCGCAGCTCATGTGTGGCCTGGATTTCCTCCCGCCCCTCCCGCCTTCCTTCCTGCTGCCCGCGGGCTCTTCTGCTGCTGCTGGTGCGGCTGATGCTGCTGCTACTGCTGGTGCTGCTGGTGCTGCTGGTAAAGGTGACGCTGGCACCGCTGCCGCTGCTGCTATGGAGGTCGATGCTTCTGCTGCCGCCGCTGCTGGTGCCGCTGCTCCTCCTGCTGCTGGTGCGGCTGCTGCAGCAACGGCAGTGGTAGTGGCGAGAGAGGGAGGGGCGGCAGAGGCAGGGCCGGGGGGGGCTCGAGCAGCGCTGTTGGAGCGACTGGAGGCGTTTAGGGAGGAGCGGCGGCTGGGGCGAGTGCTGCAGGCGATGCGGGAGCGAGTAACGGCCGCGAGAGAGCTCAAGTGAGTCATGTGAGTGCCTGATGGGAGGGGAGGGATGATGAGCGGACGGCTGTGATAGACTGGTTGGCTGAACGGACGGCACTGATGAGTCCCTTGAGGTGGGGAGATGAGCAGAGGCCTGTGAGTGCTGGAGCGAGTGACGGCCGCGAGAGAGCTCAAGTGAGTCATGTGAGTGGCTGACGGGAGGGTAGGGATAAGTTTTGAGACGTCTCAAAAGTCATGTGAGTGGCTGACAGGAGGGTAGGGATAAGCCGACGGTTGTGATGAGTGCTTGGAGGGGTGAACGGACGGCTATGATGAGTGCCTTGGGGGGGAGGGGATGTCTCAGCCTATGAGGGAGCGAGTGACGGCTGCGAGAGAGCTCAAGTGAGTCGTGTGAGTGCCTGCCTGGGGGGGTGGGATGATGAGCGGACGGCTATGATGAGTTCCTGGGGGTATGATCGGACGACTACGATGAATTCCTGGGGGGATGACCAGAGGGACTGAACGGCTTGTTGGGGGTGAGTGGAGGCTTGTGAGTGCAAGGAACTTCTTTTCACGTTAGTACTTTCCCTTGAAGTGTCAGCACTTCCCCTGCAACCCTAGGTTCCTCCTTCTGACCCCACGTTATCTCTCCTCCCTTCGTTTAGCTTCTCGTTCCTCTCTTTTCCACCCCTCCCTTACCCCACTCGTTTTCCCCCCTTCCTTTGTCCCCTGTGACTGCAGTGCGGTTCTCTCCTCCCTCGTTACAAGCACACTCCCCACTATCAGGTCGTCCAAAGCCACTGCTGTTTCCTACGCTGGGCCCTGGCCAGAAGATTCCGGGTACCTTCCCCAGTGCTCCATTGTGAGCTGGCAGCTTCTCATTGGTCCGTTGGGATTCCCAAACGCCACGTGTAGCAGCCAGAGTGGGGGAAAGGCTGAGGAGGGGGATTTGGCAGGTGGAAAAGGGGGGGAGAAGCGAGGGAAGGAGAGGAGAGGGGAGGGGAGGAACGAGAGGGAGGGGGAGAAGGATAGGAGTGACAGGAAAGGAGATGAGAAGAAAGGGTTAGAGAAGAAAGGAGATGAGAGGAAAGGGGACGAGAGGAAAGGGGATGAGAGGAAGGGGGATGAAAAGAAAGGAGATGAGAGGAAAGGGGATGAGAGAAAAAGTGAGAAGGGATCAGGGGAGGAGGGATCGTCTCGCGGCAAAGGAGAAGGCACGAGTGGAGGGAAAGGTAGAGAGGAGACTGTGGGAGGCAAGGAGGGGACCGGTGGATTGCTTGTTGGTGGCTTGGGACGAGAGGGCGGCTTGATGGTTGGTGGTTTGGGAGGAAGGGGTGGTTTGTCGCCTGGTGTTTTGCTCTCTAGGGCGCTGGTGATTGCACAGAGGAGGAGACTGGGGGGACTGGCAGGGGTGGTAGGGACCAGTGAGGTTGAAGGGGGGTCAGCAGGGAAAGGGGAGGGCGGGGGGAAGAAGCGGGAGAGCGAGGGGAAGAGCAGCGGCAGGGAGAGGAGGAGTAGCAGGGAGGGCAAGGAAAAGAGCGAGGAGAAGGGTGAAGGGAAGGCGAGTGATGGCAAGGGGGGTGAGGAGGCACGGCTGGTAGAAGAGAGGGATGGAGAGAAAGGGAGGGAGGGAGGGAGTAAGCGAGCACACGGGGACAAATCAACAGCATCAGTAGTTGCAGCTGTAGCAGCTGTAGAAGGAACAGGAGCTCCAGGGGACGGGGAGGGCGGAGGGGGCAGTGGAGGCATGGAAGGGGTGGCGTGGGTGCCGCTGCCATGGTGGTGGGCGGCAGCACATGGCATCCATCCTTCCACCCCCGCTGCTCTCGCCTGGGAGACGGTGCTGGGGGTCGGCGCTTGTGTGTATGAGCTCATTGTGAGGGGCGCAGGGGGCGGAAGGGACGGAGGAGGTGGTGGGAGCGGTGGGAGTGGAGAGCGGAAGGGGAAGAGGGAGGACGGCGAGAGGGGTGTGTGTGACCTGCAGGCACTGGTATGTGATCTTATGTTAGCTTTGATCCATCTCCCTGTCTCTAATCAATTAGAAGATTGCTCGCTGGTGTTTTTTGCCGGCAGAAGGTTCTTGCTCCAAGTGCTTGAAAGTTGTTATTCTCACCTCAGCATTCTTCCATCCATCCATCATTTTTGTCCTGCCTCCCCTGCCCCCTGCCGCCCATCCCATCAGGTGGCCATGTATCCCGACTTCCCATCTTTCCAACACCCCCGTGTCCTTCCCCTTATCCATTGTTTCCGTCCTGCCCCCGTCTCCCCCCCTGCCGCCCGTCCCATCAGGTCGTCATCTATCCCGACTTCCCTCGCCGCCCGCCTCTCTTCTCCCTCCACCTCCTCTCCCCCACCACTCTTTCTGCGCATCAGCAACCCCTCCTCCCCTCCTCCACCGCGCAAGTCACACTCGCTCCATCTGCTTCCTATGCCTCCTCCCATGCCGCCTCCCATGCGTCCTTACTCCTTGACGGGCTGTTCTCTCTCGAGTCCGAGGTAGGCAATTTCAACCCCTTGATGCATTTGCCACACCCCCCATCCCCTCTCCCACCCTCCCTCTAACCCTTCCCTCCCGCACTTATCCCGGTTCCCCTCCTTCCTCCCCTCGCCCCCGCACCTCCCGCTCCCCCCCTCCCCTCATCCCTACGAACCATAATAACCAAGTTCTTTGCATAGTGTTAGCCGGCCCATGCCGCATTTAAATTGCTTCAGTAGGCAAAAGCACAATGCACGGTACAGTCAAATCATCATGTCACACCCGTGCTTGTGCCATTTTCAGGTGAACATGGGAAGCATGGGAAGTGCAACGAGCCCTCCGTCCTCATACCTGACTCCGAGTATCCTCTACCACCAGCTACGTCACTTGCTGAGGGGATTCGACATGCTCTTGAGCTCAGCCTCAGATCTTACATGTAGAGGCGCCCCTGGGAGAATGGGTTATCTCGCACGAGGGTTTAGAGGTCGCAACAGGGAGTGTATGTTGTAAGGGCTGCGCTCGGACCTCGAATGTTCCTTCTGTTAAGAGAGAATCTTAGTACTACGTTTCTGCATCTGTGCTTTGCTGCATGTGCTAGTTGTAGGCAGTGGTGCCCGTTAGTGAAACAACAGACCATGCTTGAGGTTCCTTGTGATTGAACGTTGCGCCTTAACACATCGTTTGATTGAGAGCAGCCGATTTTACCGAGATATGTCTTTGGTGGAGACGAAGATTTTTGTCCTGACACAAAAGAGATCGCGAATCAGCTTTTACCACGTGGTTTCACTTATCACGGAGACACGCACGCTCGTTAGAAAGTGCGTACATCTGCTCCAATCGCAACAATACAGGTCATCATCGGCCATCTTAGCTGACACGTCCAGTTTCCATTTCACCCAGCGATCTCTCGGCCCGCACTTCGCGTTAGGCCCCCGAAAGTTGCGGGTTTATTTCCTCCTTTTGAGGCAAGTTCCATCAGTGCTTGCGTCACCTTGGGAACTTCATTTCACCTCACCCGACCTCACTTCAACTCGCCACACCTCGCCTCACCTCTTCTTGACTCTGACCAGGATTCCAGTTTTCTTCAGGTTTCTGCCATAATCCATCATCCCATAGTTATTCATCATACAATCTAGTTCTCACAGCACCTCACTCTCAGCCAACGACAGGTCGCTGTTTTAAACGTTCAACTTCAAGATTCTTGAACTTGTTTTCGTCAAGAACAGGGTAACCAGGTTCAGAAAGCTGAGCTCTCGCTACCCACCGGGAAGGGAGTTGGTGGGCCAGAAGGTGATTGGCCAAATGCCCCACAGCAAAAACACGGACGAGCCCCGCCAGAAACAAACAAAGGCAAGTATCACTGTTCACACTTTCAGAACTTGAAACTCGACATAACCTTTCTAGACTCGTAGCATAGAAGGCTCCAAAGCCCATATTCTCGTCAATAGTCAGCATAGTTGCGCCCATCTGCTTGCCGTATGCTAAGACTTTTGTAGCACATAAAGACGAAACTTCCCGGCGACTTTTTCGCGCATAACACATCCGATCTCGTACATTGCTTGGAAGGCATGACCCTCAGATTGATCGCCACCGTGAGACTTACTCGTCGCCGCTGAAGGGTAACCTAGCCCGCACTCAATGCCGGTCCGCAATCACTCAAGGCCCGCCCTCACTCCCGTCGTCGTCACTCCCGTCGTTCTCTCTCTCCCGTCAAACTCTCTTTCCCGTCGCGCTCTCCCTCCCGTCACACTCTCACTCCCGTCGCTCTCTCACTCTCGTCGCGCTCTCACTCCCGTCGCTCTCTCTTTCCGGCGCGCCCTCACTCTCGTCGCTCTCTCGCTCCCGTCGCGCTCATTCTACCGTCGCTCTCTCACTTCTTTGCGCTCTCACTCCCGTCGCTCTCTCACTCCCGCCGCCCTCTCATCTCCCGTCCCTCTCTCACTCCCGTCGTGCTCTCGCTCCTGTCGCTCTCTTTCCGGCGCGCTCTCACTCTCGTCGCTCTCTCGCTCCCATCGCGCTCATTCTACCGTCGCTCTCTCACTTCTTTGCGCTTGCTCTCCCGTCGCTCTCTCTCTCTCCCGCCGCCCACTCACTCCCGTCGCTCTCACACTCCCGTCACTCTCTCACTCCCGTCGCTCTCTCACTCCCGCCGCTCTCTCACTTCCGTCGCGCTCTCACTTCCCTCGCTCACTCAGTGACTGTCGCTCTCTCACTCCCATCACCCACGCACGTCGCTCGCAAATGTCGCTCACACGTGACTCACTAACACATGTCGCTCATATCTGCTCCTCTTACCCTCTTCCCCCTTTGCGCTCCCCCCGGTTCCTCCTCTGCCCATCTTCCCCGTCACTCACACACGACACACACGACATGCTCACACATGTTCCCATCTCCCTCTCCTCCCTTCCCTCTCCGCTCCTCTACTCACTTCCCTCTCTGTCCCCCTCCTTCCCTTCTCTGTCTTCGCCTCGCCTCCCTTCCCACTCATCCCCTCCCCTTCCTTTCCTTCTCGTCGTCTTTCCTTCCTTCCATCTGTCCATTCTCCGGGAAGAACTGGGAGGGGGACTGAAGAGCCTTCTCTCCCCTCCTGCCTCACTCACTCCCGCCTGTTGCCTACATCAATCCTGTTCATCATTCCAGTCACTTGCTTTCCTCACTGTCCCACTCCTCCCTTCCCTCTCCCCCACCCCCTCCCTCTCCCGCCGCTTCCGTCTACCACTAATGCAACTGGCGTGCATTCCCGTGACGCAGAGTGCAGGTGATGGCCGCGTGTTTGCGTGGCTATGTGGCATTGTGAATGGGAGGGGCTTCATTGCCTTCTCTTCCTTCATTGTGCTTCTCTGCATTGGTCTCACGTCACACTCTTCTACCATCTTTCCACCACCCATTCCACCATACCCACCCTTGCACCCATCCCTCACCCTTCCACTCTGTGCCTTACTTACTCCTTTGCTGTTTCTGTCCTTTGTTCACTTTCCCTTTGCTCTCCCTGTCATCTTAGGGACCCTGTCCCTTGCTCACTCATACGTTTGCTGTTTCTGTCCTTTGCCCCATTGTCCCCTGCTCACCCTTCAATCTCTGCCCATGCCACCCGTTGACTGTCTACCACTCTCCTGGTTTCCCTCTCTGCCTCTCTGTTGCATTCCTTGTTGTCGTTCCCCTCCCATTTCGTCCTCTGCACGCGATGCCGCCTTTCACCGTATGCTTCCCTGCTGCTCAGCCATCTCACATCTTATTTCCTGATTTGTGTTTGTACAGGTCCGTTATACATCAGTGCTAGTGCTGTGGTGATGTGCTGGCTGGCAGTTTGATAGTACTATAATGACTCGCCATTCAATGTTTTGATCTTGGATGCTTTGTTATAATACAAACTCTGAGTTGAGGAGCAGCTATGCACATGACCACTACCAAAAAGTGCAACAAAGTTCACAGTTGATCATCCACATGTAGACAGCTACGAAATCTACTGTATTTCCCCATTCTTGTTTGCTACATTGCATGCAACCTTGGCCTGTGGTGCTGGGAGCCTGGGACCTGTACTCTGCATGGTTGGAGACGGGGATGAGTGAGAGTGGGAACAGACTGAGCAGCGGAAGAGAGTGAACAGGAAGAAACAGGGCGAGCAGGCAGGAAGAGAGAGAGCAGAGAGGAACAGAGCGAGTCGGATGGGAGGGCGATGGGAGGGGGATGGGAGGGCGATGGGAGGGGGATGGGAGGGGGAAGCGAGGGTGGCGGGAGGGGGATGGGGGGGGGATGGGAGGGGGATGGGAGGGGGATGAGAGGGGGAGGTCGGTAGGGGGACGGGAGGGGGATGGGAGGGGGACGGGAGGGGGATTGGAGGGCGATGGGAGGGGGATGGGAGGGGGATGGGAGGGGGATGGGAGGGGGATGGCCAGGGGATGGGAGGGGGATGGGAGGGGGATGGGAGGGGGATTGGAGGGCGATGGAGGAAGATGGGAGGGGGATGGGGGGGGGATGGGAGGGGGATGGCCAGGGGGACGGGAGGGGGATGGGAGGGGGATGGGAGGGGGATGGGAGGGGGATGGCCAGGGGATGGGAGGGGGATGGGAGGGGGATGGGAGGGGGATGGGGGGGGGACGCGAGGGGGATGGGAGGGGGATGGGAGGGGGATGGGAGAGGGATGGGAGGGGGATGGGAGGGGGATGGGAGGGGGGGAAGGGGGGGGGATGGAGGGGGATGGCCAGGGGATGGGAGGGGGATGGGAGGGGGCTGCTGCAGCTGAAGTGGTGGCTGGGATACCGCCTCAACAAGAGCACTCCAGGTCTGCATGGGCTAAGGAAATGGCACGATAGTTGACATATGACAGGGGGGCGACAACGGGGAGGAAGTGAACAAGGGTGTGTGCAATGAGCTGTTTGCAAAGAAGTGGTGATATGGGGGGTTGGTGACTTACCGACTTACCCCCCCACACACTCACCTCATCCACAATCACTGAGGGGAGGTCGGCCTCCCCTCAGCCCCTTAGTTAATCCAGCCCAGTGGGGGGAGTTCAACCCCCCCACACACTCACCTCATCCACAATCACTGAGGGGAGGTCGGCCTCCCCTCAGCCCCTTAGAGAATCCAGCCCAGTGGGGGGAGTTCAACCCCCCCACACACTCACCTCATCCACAATCGCTGAGGGGAGGTCAGCCCTCCCTCAGCCCCTTAGAGAATCCCGCCCAGTGGGGGGAGTTCAACCCCCCCCACACTCACCTCATACACAATCACAGAGAGGGGGTAGCCTCACCCAAGCCTCTTATCCCATCCAGCCTAGTGGGGGACCCCCCCACACACTCACCTTGGAAACAATCACTGAGGGGAGGTCGGCCTCCCCTTAGCCTCCTCTCAAGTCCAGCCCAGTGGGGGAAGTTCAAACCCCCCACACACTCACCTCATACACAATCACTGAGGGGAGGTCGGCCTCCCCTCAGTCTAATACCCCCTAACTTATCGTTGCTCGGCTCCTCTCTGCTCATTCCCCGTCCCGTACATTGCTTCTCACCGGGTGGTTAAGAGTACGGGCGGCACTGAGCAGATTGTCGTTCCCGTCTAGTTAGAAGACGCGCCTTGCTGTCCGCGCCTTGTTTTTCGCCGCCTTGCTGTCCGCGCCTTGCTGTCCGCGCCTTGCTGATGGCGCCTGCCCGTCAACGCCTTCCCGTCCGCGTCTTCCCTGTGCGCGCCTTCCGTCCGCGCCGTTGTGGCTCTCGCCTTCCGCCCTATCCCTATGTAGTTGCGCCTTCTATGGGCCGTCTCACACAGGCCGCGTATTCCTGTCCGAGTCTCTCCCTTCCGCAACTTTCGAGTGTGTTCGCTTTTTCTCGTGCAACGGTGTCCCGACCAGCGCAATCGTCACCGTGGTCGAGCTGCAGTTGCTAACGGGCAGGCTTTCCTTCTGACGTTCGAGGCCACATATCCATTCGCCACTCAAATGGTGTGGTTTCTACAGATAATTACGTGCAGTGTCGATTCTCTTCGGAGAACAAGGACGCGACGTGACTGTTTTGTGACCACAACAACCGTTGAGTGTCGCCGCTATTCCCGTGTTGGTGGCCTGCAACGTTCTGTGCTGGAATGGACGTTCGCCACCTGAAAACGCCAAACGTGGGCAATAGCGTTACCCCGCTTATGTTGCCTAAACCTGATGACGGACGTGACGTTACGTGATCGTCCTTAGAATTCGTCTAGTAGGTACAAACCGAATGTGGGTTGTGTGGTGGGTCATGCACGTCGAGTGCATTGCTGGTTGTTGAGCTGCGTATCAGTAGGCTCCTGCCATAGTCCGCGATCATAGAAAGCTGGTGGTGTGACTTGCGTGGATGGTGGTTTGGTTTTGTTTGTCGCTTGTGTTTTTTCCTGAACTAGGAACCCGTACAATGCGAAAAACTTCGAAGCACCCCACCTTCGCCACCTCTTTCCGGCGAATTGCGCTCTCGTCATCCTTCGCCCAACCCCCTTTCAAGTTCAGTAATCCTGAACCCCTGCCATTCTAGGCGCGGGCTTTAAGAGAGGGAGTCGAGCAGTCATCGTTCATCTTGTCGGCATTCCCTGCTTCTGTACGCGTATTAGACTCGTTGCGTTAAACTTCTGAAGCCATGGCTGCTCTCACTACCAGCTCCCTCTCCTCCATGGTGGCGACAACCGCGCTTTCCGCGAGTGCCGCGTCATCCAGGGCCCTTGCCAGCTCAGCCGCTATCTCGGGAACTCCAGTCCTGCGCTCCGCTGCTTGCGTCGGCAAGCGTGCACCGACCGGCAAGACTAACGGCTCGGTCAGGTGCTCCGCGAAGCCGTCGGCTTCCAACGACGAGAGCAACAGAACCTTTGCTTTGAGATCTTTCCGCGAGAAGAAGGCTTTCAAGGTGTGCTTTGAAGGAAAGCTGAACATCAGTATCCCATGCGTCCATTTTCAGAATACCCGAACAGTTTGTCTTTGTCGTTCGTTCATTGTGAGGACCTCGCATTCACGTCTCACGTGGTGAGGGAAAAAACACAACCTTTTGTTGCTCGTGCGTGGGGACTGCTTGCTTGTTCTCGATCATGGCATCACTCCCTTTCTGTTCGTCATCTTTCGTTTCATAAACCTTATTTTCCTGCATCCTCAATGTCGTTTCTGGTGTATTCAGGCCATCGCAGGACTCAACAACTTCAATGCCGACTCTGTTGCCGCTGTCGTCTCCGCTGCTGAGAAGGTACGCAGCGGCTGCCCAACACCACTTTCCTCATCACCATTCTTTAATCTATCCCATCCCCTACTTCCCCCATTCGCCCCTTCCCCATACCCGCCTTCCCCCGACGTGCAAGGTCTATTCATTCACATTGGTTTCGCTCCGTTCCATCCGCTCTTCGCCGCTTTCCATTGCTGGATCCTAGACCTCTATCACCGCGTGCTTCTCCCCTCACTCTGCATCTGCTTTAGAGTCGACTCAAAAGCACATCCTATATCCTAGATCTTAGATCCCTATCTCTATCCTTCATCGACCGATCTCTATCGCCGCGCTCCTCCACTCTCCCCTCACTCCGCATCTGCTCACTCCGTTCATCCCCGTCGGTTCACCACCCCGTCTTTCCCGCATCCATCCCCATCCAATACTCGCCAGGGAGGGGCCACGGTCGTCGACATTGCCTGCGATCCCGACCTCGTTCGCCTCGCCCGCTCCCTCACCTCTCTCCCTGTAAGCCCTTCCGACCTCAGTCCCTCTCCCTGAAGAATCCTTGCCCGCTTCTCACCGCTGAGTTGACGTTTGAGTCGACTCAAAAGTCAACCCGCTCCCTCACCTCTCTCCCTGTAAGCCCTTCCGGCCTCAGTCTCTCTCCCTGAAGTATCCTTGCCCGCTCCTCATCGCTGTCTCTGGAAACCATTCCAGGCATGACTGTGCTCATGTATGTGTGCATTCTTATCTATGTGATAAAAGTGAAGTTTTGAGACGTCTCAAAACTTCACTTTTATCACATGACTGTACTCATGTATGTGCGCGTTCTTATCTCTCCTCTTTGTTAGGAAACCGCCTCCATTTCCGCTACCCCCGTTTATGGTTCTTTCCCGGTCTGTTCCTCCCTCACCCTGTCGTTCTTCTCCCTGCGCTGTCCCTCCATCCCTCTGCTGTCTCCCGTCTCCCTTCCATGTTCCTCCCTCGCCCTGTCGATCAGATCTGCGTGTCGGCAGTGGAGCCGGAGAAGTTCGTCGAGGCAGTTGCTGCTGGCGCGCACATGGTGAGTCCGTCAGTGTGGGCGATTGAAGAATACATAATGCTTCTACCAAACCACGGGGCGAACGTGGTTTTTAAGCAACGCAAGCAATCTCATTCCAGCCTGTTCAGTTATGCGCTTGGAGGTTTCCCCCATCGTTCCAATCTAATCTCTTCATCTCCGTTTGATTACACGTGGCAGATCGAGATTGGCAACTTTGATTCGTTCTATCCTGACGGCCGGGAGTTCACCGCAGAGGAGGTAAGGTGCCAAGGACCTACTTCTTAATAATAACAGGGGTTAAGACACGATCTTTTTAGACGCCTCAAAATACTAACTCCCTGCGGAGGAGGCAAGGTTGTGCCGAAGAGCTCGTATCTCAAAATCCACGGGTGTGCCTCAGAGTCGCCAACAACTCAAAATCTCAGCGTAAAACCAACTGATTAAGGCTGAGGACTTTACCCTAAGGGGTGACGGGTTCGTATGGATGAACAGCATGAGCAGGGAGGGCGCTTGTTAGCATGATACAGGGCGTGGTCGCATCTATCCTTACTTACGTCCCTCTCCCGATCGCTGCAGGTGCTGGACTTGACTCGTCGCACTCGCCAGCTGCTCCCCTCCATCGCCCTCTCCGTCACCGTTCCCCACACTCTGCCTCTGCCCGAACAGGTAACTTCTTCCCTTACCCTTCCAACCATCCCACCCATCCCGCCCACCTTCCCTCCCTCTCCATCGTTTCTCACCGTAGCCCACCCGCTGCTTCCTTTGGTGCTGCTGATCCCTCCTCCCATTCGCCCCTGTCGCGCTTCAAACCGTCCCTCTCATCCCCTCGTCCTCCCCTCCCTCTTCATGCTATATGGTCACTGGGTCGCTCGCAACCGATACTCTCCTGTGCAGCTAACTGCCTGCTCCTTTTCTCCCCCTCTCAAGATTCCAACCACCCATCCCATCTCCCCTCCCATCTTCACTCTTCCCGAATTTCTCCCACTCAACCGTCCCCCTTTCCACCCCCTTGTACCCCCCTAAAACCCTTGCATTCATGTGCATTTCTCCTCCCTCTTCATACTAATTTACTGCCATCACTTGTCAACCGCCTTCCCTCCTATCCTCTGTCCCAGACAGACCTATGCCATGCTGTCTCACCCACTCACCTCCCATCACCCTCCCCTCCCATCCCTTCCCCGTCATACTCCCCTCCCACTTCCCTCTCGTCCCCCTCTACTCCCCTCCTCGTTCCACCCAGGTCGCTCTGGCAGAGGCCCTGCAGGAATGGGTCTTCTCTCACCCTTCCTCTCACCCATACCATCTCACCCTCTCTCCTCCCATCCGTTCCACGTCTCCTACACCCCTCTCGTCCCCCTCTACTCCCCTCCTCGCTTCATCCAGGTCGCTCTGGCGGAGGCTCTGCAAGGGTGTGGCGCTGACGTTATCCAGACTGAGGGCGGAACCAGCTCAGCAGCTTCCTCTGCTGGCGTTCAAGGGCTGGTGGAGAAGGTGGGTGGCTGGGCTGTGTGTGTTGAGTTGACTCAAAGTGGGGTGCGGGGGTTCGTTGTATGCGTCAATTCTGGAGTCTATTTGAATTGTGTGGGCAGCGTTTTATGAGTCACTCCCATTTTCCATTCCTCGCATCCTTCCCGACCACCCCCAACCCACCATCACAACCACCTACTCCAATACTTGTGCCATCACCACACCCACAATGTCTCTGGCGTGAAAGAGTCTTGTCACCTCTCACAGAAGCCGTAGCCCTAATAGGATCCGTTCTTGCTCTATCTTGGTGCTTCTGCCCCCTCCCACAACCCCCCCTTTCCTCCCTCCAGGCCACTCCCACCATTGCAGCCACCTACTCTATCGCCCGGGCCGTCACCATTCCAGTCATGTGTGCCTCTGGTCTCAGTGCTGTCACTGTCCCTCTCGCCTTCGCTGCTGGTGCTTCAGGAGTGGTATGTCTGCTTTTCTTTGAACAACCCACCTTTTCCCCCCCTTTTTGATGTCTTTTACTGCTGCCTCATGCGAGTACCATTGCTCAACCAGCCATCGTATTTCCTTAATGACTCTCCTTCTTGTCTTGTGCAGGGAGTTGGATCTGCCATCAACCGCCTGAATGAGCCTATTGCGATGGTGGCAGCGGTGCGGGAAATTGCAGATGCAGTGAATAGCCAAGTTACCAAGAAGAAGGCAGCCGCCAGCGGTGCTGACAATTGAAAACTGAAACTGGGTAACATTGAGGAGATTTAGTCATAAGATAGGGAAAGGAAAAGCAGTGCCAGCGAAGCCTTTTTAGTGAAGTTTTTCTATTTCGGAATGCATTGCTGCACCTCGCTGATTCACACAGAATGATTACAATCGATAAACGCACATTTGTTTTCGAACCTAGCAGTTTGCAGTGATACAGGTGAAAATCGGTTGGCCAGCTTTAGCACGACGTTCAACAACCGTGGCGGGGAATAAACCGAGCCTAATATGACTCAACGATTGGTCGCAATTCGTGGCTCGGCCTGATGTTGTTTTCGCCGAGCCTGAATGACTTCAACTTCCCACCAACAGTGACCAGCCTCCATCATTTGCGAAACAGTCACACCTGGGTCCTGAGTCCTGCGTGACCTCTCTCCGAACCTTGGGTTATCATACTGCAGCCTCGCCTCATCATGCCTCCGCTCTCTTGCTCTCCCTGACCCTTGGGATCATCATCAGCTCCTTGATCCTCTCTTCCGCCACACTCCGCTTGCGTCCCTCCCGCAAGTGATTCCCGCACCACCGCTTCCGCGACGGGGCCATAGTTTCCGCTCTCTTACAGGAACGCGCACGCTCCACCCTTGGGCCCGAGCCTAGATGATCATCACCTTCCGCGCACGTCCCTGGAGATCATCATACCTCCCCTCCTGATTTCCTTCCTCATCATCGCGTTGCCTTGCTCGTGCGCTCGCTGTGAGGAAAACTACAAACCCTAGCTGACGGCACTGAGAGCCCTCCAGCAGGACAACTCCAACAAACCACTCAATACGATCGCTGGAATCATCATTTTCTTGATAGACCTGAACCGCCGCTTTCTGAACGACACTGGTCAAAGCAGCTTTCACTGAGCAAACCCCCACCTGTCCTGCCGAGGCTGGTGATTGGCTTGTTTTGGTGATTGAGAGTGCAGATTAGGTTAGGTTTGGAAAAGCGTAAGAGACACGAGTAGGAGGGATTATAAAAGCGCAATGGGAACGTCGGCGGGAGGAGCAGGGCAAGGTCAAGAAAAATCGCATGAAAGTGGAGAAGATAAGAACGATAGAGAGCAGGATGAGGAGGGAGATCAGTATCCAGGCAATGAGGGTCCCACGGAGGGAGGGAAATACGTTAGATACACGAGCGAACAGGTGGAGGTATTGGAGAAAGTTTATAAAGAATGTCCGAAACCGAGCTCCGTCCGACGGTCGCAGCTTATCAAGGAGTATCCGGTGCTGTCGAACATCGAGCCGAAGCAGATCAAAGTCTGGTTCCAGAACCGAAGGTATTGGATTAGCTAATGCAGTTTTTTAGGACGTCCTTAGTGTTTTTAAATTCGAACAAGTATGGCCTCGCATCTTCTCTTTCAAGCCTCCTCGTTGATACAGCGGAGATTGGAGCTGCATTTGAGACAATTCTTCCTCGTTACGGTTACTTCCTTTCACGGCATTGACATTAGACGAAGTTATGCAATTTCGAATCGTTCTCTCACGCGTCCGTCGGTGCGCTTTCGACGTTGGATTGGAACCCGAGCAAACCCAGATAGCTAGAGCCTCTAAGTCGCCACATTGTTCCCTGTTCGACAAGCAGGCCGAAGCAAACCTCTCTTGAGCAGCTTAATTTCCTTCTAAATGCGTGCGATCCCTCCAACGCTGTAACAATCTCTCTTTTTTCGCAACCCGTAACCCGGTAACCCGCTCCTCCAGATGTCGCGAGCGGCAGCGGATGGAGTACAGCCGGCTGCAGAGCATGAACTCGCGCCTCTCCGCGCTCAACAAGCTGCTCGTGGAGGAAAACGAGCTCTCCACGCGCAAGATCTCGCAACTCACGCTCGAAAACATGCTCCTGCGACAGCAGGTCGCACGCCTGGAAGCGTCGCAGCAGCTCGCAGGGCCGACGCCGGGGTCTGTAGCTGCGGCCGCCGCCGCTGCTGCTGCGGCTGCTGCGGTCGCGGACCCGCTGAAGCTCCCCGGCGCTGCTGCTGCTGCCGCTGCGGCTGCTGCGGGTGGTCCCGTTCCCGGCATTCCCACTGTTGTAAGCGTTTGAGCTCTGTGGGAAACTCTTCGCATTTCTGCTGCGAAAACGGCTCCATGGTTTCTCGCACGGCTCTGCATCGCTCCTCTTTTCCGGCTCTCCCCGCATACCACCCTCTCCCACCACTTTCCTGACCCGAAACCACCCTCCGCACCCCCTCCCCTCCCCCTCCCCTCCTCTCTCAACCCGGCTCGTCTCATCCCCACTCCCTGTCTCTCCCCCCTCCCCCCCTCCCTCCCCTTTCCCAACATCTGTTTTGGAATTGCTAATTCTCTCCTAGGGTATGCTCTCCGGGTTCCTGCCCCTAAGCCTGCCCGTCATATTTCTCTCATTTCGTCTTATTATTCCCTCCCTGATGAATTCCTTTCCCTTCCCTACCTCCGCTCCCACCCCTCTCTCCCCTCGCTCCCCTTTTTCCCCCCTCCGTTGGCATCAGCCGGTTCTCCCCCCGGGAATGCACCCGGGCCTGCCCCTGGGTCAGCCAGACGTCTTTTCCCAGCTGCGAGCTGCGGCGCTAGGTGGGGTGGGAGGGGCGGGAGGGGTGGGCGGGGTCGGAGGGGTGGGAGGGATTGGAGGGGTGGGAGGGGAGTTTGGCGGAGGGGCAGCCGCTTTAGACGTGCTGAAGCAGCGGCAACTGGGAGCGGCGCAGCAGCAGCAGCAGCAACAACAGCAACAACAACAGCAACAGCAGCAACAGCAACAACAACAGCAAGCACAGCAACAGGGATTGGCACAGCAAGCAGAGCAGCAGCAGTTGCTGCCAAGGCTGGGGTTTGCGGGCACCAATCTGACCTCGGACTCAGCCGTGACCGGCTCCAATCCTGCCGGCGACCCAGGCGCCTCTGGGTGCGTTCCCTAGGTCCTCCTTTTCCTATATTTGCCGCTGCCTCCCTGCCTACCTGCCTACCTGCCTACCTGCCCACCTGCCTACCTGCTGCCCACCTGCCTACCTGCCTACCTGCCTGCCCTTTCCCTGCCTCCCTTGCCCTGCACTCCCCTCACCCTCCCCATCCATGCCATTCCCCTGCCCCTGTATCTTCCCCTGCCCCTGTATCTTCCCCTGCCCCTTCCCCTGCCCCTTCCCCTGCCCCTTCCCCTGCCCCTTCCCCTGCCCCTTCCCCTGCCCCTTCCCCTGCCCCTTCCCCTGCCCCGTCCGCTTCTCCTGCCATACCCCTTCCCCTTCGCCGTCCTTTTTCCTTGCGCCTTCTCTTTCCCCTTTCCTTGCCCTATTCCTTTTCCTTTTCCCTTCCCCTGCCCCTTCCGTTCTCCTGCCCTTCCCCTTCCCCTTCTCCTGGCCCTGATTCCATGCCTTGTGTTCCCATGTTCCCGAGCCCCCCTCCCTCTCCCCCCGCCCACACCCTCCCTCCCCCAGTCTACTACCCATAGCAGAGCAGATCTTATCCGAGTTCTTGGCAAAAGCTACTGGCACGTCCATGGACTTTGTTGAAATGCCGGGGGTCAAGGTGAGGCGAGGGGGGAGGGAGGCGGGAAGGTTGGGAACGGTTTCTTTGGTTTATACTCTGAAGCATAGACAAGATCGCTCTAGCACGCGGAGTAGTGGTTTATACTCTGAAGGCTGTTGGTTGGCTGGCTTGGCACGTCCATGGGCCTTTTTGAAATGCCGGGAGCGAAGGTGAGTGAGATGAGATGCGTAGAATTGAGTTGATTTTTGAGGCGCCTCAAAAATCAGCTCAAGGTGAGTGAGATGCGTAGAAGCATAGACAAGATCGCTCTAGCACGCGGAGTAGTTGACAAGTCTCAAGCTTCTCTCTTTTCCCCCCTTTCCCCATCTTCCCCCCGTGGCAGGTCGGAGCAGGCTACATAGGCAAGGTCACCATTGCATGCGGAGGGCCCGGTGTTGCTGCTCGGGCGGCTGGCCTTGTGCTGCTGCCGCCCAGCAAGGTGAGTGTTGCAGCCCAACAAGGTTAGCTAAAGTGCTGATTGTTCGTGGTTGTTAGATCTGTTGGGAACGCGCTCCTACTATCCCTATTCGTCTTCCCTCTGTTCTGTCGCTCTCAAGGAGATGCTGAGCAAGAACCGGGTGGCGTGACTATCTCGACTCGAGATTCTCGAGGATTGATCCTCCAGGAGCGCCTCCAGGATCAATCCGTCCCTTGGTCCCTCTCATCTGAATTCCAATCCGTCCCTTGGTCCCTCTCATCTGAATTCCAATCCGTCCCTTGGTCCCTCTCATCTGAATTCCAATCCGTCCCTTGGTCCCTCTCATCTGAATTCCAATCCGTCCCTTGGTCCCTCTCATCTGAATTCCAATCCGTCCCTTGGTCCCTCTCATCTGAATTCCAATCCGTCCCTTGGTCCCTCTCATCTGAATTCCAATCCGTCCCTTGGTCCCTCTCATCTGAATTCCAATCCGTCCCTTGGTCCCTCTCATCTGAATTCCAATCCGTCCCTTGGTCCCTCTCATCTGAATTCCAATCCGTCCCTTGGTCCCTCTCATCTGAATTCCAATCCGTCCCTTGGTCCCTCTCATCTGAATTCCAATCCGTCCCTTGGTCCCTCTCATCTGAATTCCAATCCGTCCCTTGGTCCCTCTCATCTGAATTCCAATCCGTCCCTTGGTCCCTCTCATCTGAATTCCAATCCGTCCCTTGGTCCCTCTCATCTGAATTCCAATCCGCCTCTCCCACTACTCTCTCCCCTGCAGGCGGCAGAGCTGCTCAAGGACCGAGTGGCGTGGCTGAGGGAGTGCCGCCGCTGCGACGTGTGTTGGGGGTTTCCTCACATCACATCTGCCTTCAAGTGAGATTTTCCTCTTATTCTCTCCCCCCCTCCCCCACGCCTCCCTGCAGGCAGCAGAGTTGCTCAAGGACCGAGTGGCGTGGCTGAGGGAGTGCCGCCGCTGTGACGTGCTGGGAGGCTTCCGCACTCCCAATGGCGGCACTGTCGAGCTCGTCTACACCCAGGTGCGCTCAGGTGCTTTCCCAGGTGGGCTCAGGTGATTTCCCAGGTGCGCTCAGGCGGATGTGTAAATCAAGTGGCATGCACATGCATGCCATGCCCTGCTAGCACCTCTAGTACCCTGCTAGCACCTCTAGTACCTCTGCATGCTACACACCTCTCTCTTTGAGGACGGGGTGTTCATCTGCTAGCGATCGCTCAGCAACGCGCATGGGGGCAGTGCCGTTGTTTGTGCTCACCTGCTCACTGTTCACCTCTCCCCCTGCCCGCCTGCCCCCTGCCCTGTTGCCCCCCGCTGCCCCTCTGTCCCCTCTCCTTGTCCTTGGCTTCTCGCACAGATGTACGCACCAACCACCCTCGCCCCTCCTCGTGACCTCTGCACCCTTCGTTACACCTCTCTTCTAGAAGACGGAGTGGTGATCTGCGAGCGCTCGCTGAGCAATGCCCATGGGGGCGCGTCCATGCCCGCAGTGCCGTCGTTTGTGCGTGCGGAAATGCTCCCCAGTGGCTACCTTATCCGCCAGTGCGACGGGGGAGGCTCCGTGATCATCGCTGTAGACCACCTTGACCTGCAGGTGAGCCGTGCTGCATGGATGCCTCTTCTTCTCCCTCTTCTTCTCCCTCTCCTTCTCCCTCTTCTTCTCCCTCTCCTTCTCCCTCTTCTTCTCCCTCTCCTTGTCCCTCTTCTTCTCCCTCTCCTTCTCCCTCTTCTTCTCCCTCTCCTTCTCCCTCTCCATCCTCTCACCATGCCGTGCCCACATGCTCCCCATCCGCGTGGCTACCTCATCTGCCACTGAGGGGGGGGGTGGGGGGGGGCTCCGTCATTATCGCTGTTGACCACCTGGACCTGCAGGTGCGCCCTTCCTCTTTTCCTCCTCGCTCTTCTCTCTCTCCTCTCCCTCCCTCCGTCCTTGCTTTTCACTTCCTCTTCTTCTTCTCCCTTTTGTAGCATCTCTGCCTCCGTCCTTCCCCCACCTCTCGCTCCCCTCCCCACTCTCCCCCACGCCTGACAGGCGTCCAGCGTGCCCGAGGTGCTGTGGCCACTGTACCAGGCGTCCTTCATATGACCTGTGTACCCCCCCTTACCCCCCTCGCTGTCCCACCCGCACCTCCTGCCCCTCCCTCTGCACGCTCACCAGGCGTCCAGCGTGCCAGAGGTGCTGCGGCCGCTGTATCAGTCGTTCCTGTAGGACCTGTAACTCCTTCCTGAACCCCCATTCCTCCCTCTCCCCACCTCCTCCCTCTCCCCTCCACCTCCTCCCTCTCCCCACCTCTCCTCCCTCCTCCCTCCCCTGTGCAAATACCCTTGCCCCTCCTGCTCAACCCCCACCTCCTTCCGCTCTCCCGTATTCTCACCAGGCGTCCAGTGTACCTGAGGTGCTGCGGCCGCTGTACCAGTCGTCCCTGTATGGCCTGTGCAAATCCCCTTGGCCCCCCTGCCCACACCCCACCTCCTTCCGCTCTCCTGCACTCTCACCAGGCGTCCAGCGTACCTGAGGTGCTGCGGCCGCTGTACCAGTCGTCTGCAGCGCTGGCACACCGAATGACCATTGAGGCCCTGCGCTACCTGCGCAAGGTGGCCAACGAGGGGTCCGCAGGCGGGGGCGAGGCCACCAGCGGGGAGGGCGGGGCAGCGGGCAGCAGGGCGGAGTCTGGGCGGCCACAGGACCGGCAGCTGACAGCATGGCGAGCGATAGCAGAGCGCATTGCCATGTGAGTGGGAGGAGTGTCCGTACCGTTCGTACAAGTTGCATGAGAGCAGGAACAGGTGAGGTGCGTGGGGAGCGGAAGGCAGCGGGGCGGAGTCGGGTCGGCCGCAGGACCGGCAGCTGACAGCATGGCGAGAAATCGCTGAGTTCTCTCAAGCTGCGGCTGCAATTCCAAGCTGCAGTTCCAAGCTGCAGTTTCCAGCTTGCAGATGCGTGGGACTGCAGACAGCAGATGCGTGGGACTGCAGACAGCAGATGCGTGGGACTGCAGACAGCATCTCTTGCCCCCTCTCCCATCTCCCTCCTCTCACGTCCTTCTTTCCTCCCTATCCTCCCTGCAGGGGATTCAACGAGGCAGTGAATGGGTTTACGGACGATGGGTGGGAGCAGATGGCGGGAGACGGCATGGATGACGTCACCCTTGCTGCCAGAGCCACTGGCGCCGGGGGGAAGGCCGCAGGGGGCATGGGCGGAGGGGGAGATGCGCCTGGGCCTGTGGGCGGTGGTGTGCTGTGCGCCAAGGCGTCTATGCTGCTGCAGGTGGGTTTTCTCGTGGGTCAGTGCTGCTGCAGGCCTGTGTGGGTGTGCTGATACTGGTGGGTTCACTGCTCTTTGCTTCCATGTGGCAAGTTGCCAAATGGTTTATCTCCCACTGAACCCATGTACTGTTCCGGTCCTTACCTCTTTTGAGGCGCCTCAAAAGGCTTCCATGTGGCAAGTTGCCGAATCGTTTATCTCCCAGTGAACCCATGTACTGTTCCGGTCCTTACCACGTGTGATGAGGTTGTTTTTGAGACGTCTCAAAAATCTCCCACTGAACCCATGTACTGTTCCGGTCCTTACCTCCGGTGCATTTCCCCCAACCCCCCCACACACCAAAGCCCCCACTTAATCACTCCCCCCTTTTTCGCACTGACTTTATCGCTGCTCCACTGCTGCTCGTCAGATTCATGCTGTAACCACCTTAGCTCTTGACAGCCACAGCAGTATTCACTTACTCTCCCTCAATACCACCCCCTCCCGCCTCCTCCGAACGGGTCCCCAGTGCTGTTAATCAAGTTCCTGCGCCACCATCGCTTCGAGTGGACTGACGGCACGATAGACCTGACTTAGTGCCCCCTCCCCCCACCCCTGCCAAACCCCACCCCCCCTTCAACCCGCCACCCCACCCCCATCCTTCCCTCCCCCTCCTCAGAACGTGTCTCCAGTACTCCTCATCAAGTTTCTGCGCCACCATCGCGCAGAGTGGGCGGACGGCACGATAGACGCGGACTCAGCAGCGGCAGTGCAGGCCACCATGGGTGCTCGCGCTGCTGCTGCCGGCGCGGGGAAAGTGCCTCTGCCGCTTGCCTATGCTGTTGACCAGGAAGAGGTACGATTGTGTGTGTGGGGGGGGGGGGTGTGGGTGTGGGTGTGGGGGTGTGTGTGTGGGGGGGGGGGGTGGGTGTGGGTGTGTGGGTGTGTGTGTGTGTGGTGTGGGTGTGTGGGTGGGTGTGTGTGTGTGGGGGGGGGGGGATAGGGGTGTGTGGGTGCGTGGGTGCGTGGGTGTGCGTGGGTGTGTGTGTGTGTGTATGTGTGTGTGTGTGTATGTGTGTGTGTGTGTGCGTGTGTGTGTGTGTGTGTGTGTGTGTGTGTGTGTGTGTGTGTGCCACCATGGGTGCCGGCACTGCTGCTGCCGGCGCCGGGAAAGTTCCTCTGCCACTCGCCTATGGTGTTGACCACGAAGAGGATCAAGGCGCGCGCGTGGACCAAGCCGCGCCCGTGGACCAAGTCGCGTCGCCCATCACACACCCATCATCTTCCCCCACACACCCCCATCATCTTCCCCCACACACCCCCATCATCTTTCCCCACTGTCAGCAGCTCGAGCCAGCTGCTGCCACACGAGGCATGGCTCTCACACGAGGCATGGCTCTCACACGAGGCATGGCTCTCACACGAGGCATGGCTCTCACTATCTCGTGCTCCCTCTTCCCCCACTCCCTGCACGCACCCCTCCCCTTCCCCTCCCCGCTCTCCACCCATCCAATCCAATCGTCAGTTCCTGGAGTTGGTGAAGCTCGAGCCTGCTGCTGCCACACGGGGGATGGCCGGAGCGAGAGAAACGTTTCTGCTGCAGGTGAGGCCTTTCCTAAAGGTGTTGGTGGGTGGGTGCTGCGGGTGGGTGGGGTGCTGCGGGTGGGGTAAGAGAGTCATTTTTATTCTCGCTGAATGATTGCATCAGCATCCACCTTTGCCTCGCCCTGCCTGCACCCACTCCCACACCCCTTCCCCCCATACCTGTGCCAGTCTCCTCCTCTCCTCTCCCCCTTTCCCGCTTTTCAACCGCACTCTCTTTCTCGTCTGTATTCCGTTTTGCTTCACCCTGTTCCCCTCACTCTTCGCCCCATCCACCCCGCTTTCCTGCCTACCCTCTCTTCTTGCCGCTCCTCCCTACTGCCCCTCCCTCCTCCCCCTCCCCCTTGTTCTCCCCTCCCCATCCCCCTCCCCCCTCCCCTCCCCTCCCCCCTCCCTCTCCCCTCTCCCCTCCCCTCTCCCCCTCCCCTCTCCCCTCCCCTCTCCCCTCCCCTCTCCCTCTCCCCTCTCCCCTCCCCTCTCCGCCTCCCCTCTCCCCCTCCCCTCCCCCTCCCCTCTCCCCCTCCCCTCTCCCCCTCCCCTCTCCCCCTCCCCTCTCCCCCATTTGCCCCGGTGATATCGCAGCTCTGCAGTGGCGTCGAGGACGAAAGCACGTCGGGCTCCACGTCAGCATCATCCGCCACATCAGCGCCGCCGCACAGCGCGACAGCTCAGCTGGTCTTTGCCCCCGTGGACGCAGCCTCCACGGCTGACACCGTCCCTCTCCTCCCATCGGGCTTCCGAGTCATTCCCCTCTCCCTGCCGCCCTCCCAGGTAGAGTAACTGCCGCCCTCCCAGGTAGAGTAACTGCCGCCCTCCCAGGTAGAGTAACTGCCGCCCTCCCAGGTAGAGTAACTGCCGCCCTCCCAGGTAGAGTAACTGCCGCCCTCCCAGGTAGAGTAACTGCCGCCCTCCCAGGTAGAGTAACTGCCGCCCTCCCAGGTAGAGTAACTGCCGCCCTCCCAGGTAGAGTAACTGCCGCCCTCCCAGGTAGAGTAACTGCCGCCCTCCCAGGTAGAGTAACTGCCGCCCTCCCAGGTAGAGTAACTGCCGCCCTCCCAGGTAGAGTAACTGCCGCCCTCCCAGGTAGAGTAACTGCCGCCCTCCCAGGTAGAGTAACTGCCGCCCTCCCACGTAGAGTAACTGCCGCCCTCCCAGGTAGAGTAACTGCCGCCCTCCCAGGTAGAGTAACTGCCGCCCTCCCAGGTAGAGTAACTGCCGCCCTCCCAGGTAGAGTAACTGCCGCCCTCCCAGGTAGAGTAACTGCCGCCCTCCCAGGTAGAGTAACTGCCGCCCTCCCAGGTAGAGTAACTGCCGCCCTCCCAGGTAGAGTAACTGCCGCCCTCCCAGGTAGAGTAACTGCCGCCCTCCCAGGTAGAGTAACTGCCGCCCTCCCAGGTAGAGTAACTGCCGCCCTCCCAGGTAGAGTAACTGCCGCCCTCCCAGGTAGAGTAACTGCCGCCCTCCCAGGTAGAGTAACTGCCGCCCTCCCAGGTAGAGTAACTGCCGCCCTCCCAGGTAGAGTAACTGCCGCCCTCCCAGGTAGAGTAACTGCCGCCCTCCCAGGTAGAGTAACTGCCGCCCTCCCAGGTAGAGTAACTGCCGCCCTCCCAGGTAGAGTAACTGCCGCCCTCCCAGGTAGAGTAACTGCCGCCCTCCCAGGTAGAGTAACTGCCGCCCTCCCAGGTAGAGTAACTGCCGCCCTCCCAGGTAGAGTAACTGCCGCCCTCCCAGGTAGAGTAACTGCCGCCCTCCCAGGTAGAGTAACTGCCGCCCTCCCAGGTAGAGTAACTGCCGCCCTCCCAGGTAGAGTAACTGCCGCCCTCCCAGGTAGAGTAACTGCCGCCCTCCCAGGTAGAGTAACTGCCGCCCTCCCAGGTAGAGTAACTGCCGCCCTCCCAGGTAGAGTAACTGCCGCCCTCCCAGGTAGAGTAACTGCCGCCCTCCCAGGTAGAGTAACTGCCGCCCTCCCAGGTAGAGTAACTGCCGCCCTCCCAGGTAGAGTAACTGCCGCCCTCCCAGGTAGAGTAACTGCCGCCCTCCCACGTAGAGTAACTGCCGCCCTCCCAGGTAGAGTAACTGCCGCCCTCCCAGGTAGAGTAACTGCCGCCCTCCCAGGTAGAGTAACTGCCGCCCTCCCAGGTAGAGTAACTGCCGCCCTCCCAGGTAGAGTAACTGCCGCCCTCCCAGGTAGAGTAACTGCCGCCCTCCCAGGTAGAGTAACTGCCGCCCTCCCAGGTAGAGTAACTGCCGCCCTCCCAGGTAGAGTAACTGCCGCCCTCCCAGGTAGAGTAACTGCCGCCCTCCCAGGTAGAGTAACTGCCGCCCTCCCAGGTAGAGTAACTGCCGCCCTCCCAGGTAGAGTAACTGCCGCCCTCCCAGGTAGAGTAACTGCCGCCCTCCCAGGTAGAGTAACTGCCGCCCTCCCAGGTAGAGTAACTGCCGCCCTCCCAGGTAGAGTAACTGCCGCCCTCCCAGGTAGAGTAACTGCCGCCCTCCCAGGTAGAGTAACTGCCGCCCTCCCAGGTAGAGTAACTGCCGCCCTCCCAGGTAGAGTAACTGCCGCCCTCCCAGGTAGAGTAACTGCCGCCCTCCCAGGTAGAGTAACTGCCGCCCTCCCAGGTAGAGTAACTGCCGCCCTCCCAGGTAGAGTAACTGCCGCCCTCCCAGGTAGAGTAACTGCCGCCCTCCCAGGTAGAGTAACTGCCGCCCTCCCAGGTAGAGTAACTGCCGCCCTCCCACGTAGAGTAACTGCCGCCCTCCCAGGTAGAGTAACTGCCGCCCTCCCAGGTAGAGTAACTGCCGCCCTCCCAGGTAGAGTAACTGCCGCCCTCCCAGGTAGAGTAACTGCCGCCCTCCCAGGTAGAGTAACTGCCGCCCTCCCAGGTAGAGTAACTGCCGCCCTCCCAGGTAGAGTAACTGCCGCCCTCCCAGGTAGAGTAACTGCCGCCCTCCCAGGTAGAGTAACTGCCGCCCTCCCAGGTAGAGTAACTGCCGCCCTCCCAGGTAGAGTAACTGCCGCCCTCCCAGGTAGAGTAACTGCCGCCCTCCCAGGTAGAGTAACTGCCGCCCTCCCAGGTAGAGTAACTGCCGCCCTCCCAGGTAGAGTAACTGCCGCCCTCCCACGTAGAGTAACTGCCGCCCTCACAGGTGAGTTACTGCCGCCCTCCCAGGTAGAGTAACTGCCGCCCTCGCAGGTGAGTAACTGCCGCCCTCCCAGGTAGAGTAACTGCCGCCCTCCCAGGTGAGCATTTCCTACTCCCAGGTGGGTTGGTGTGTCCTCCAAAAGCTCAGCTGGTCTTTGCCCCTGTTGACAACGCGGCCTCCACGGCCGACACCGTGCCGCTGCTGCCATCCGGCTTCCGCGTCATCCCGCTCCCCCTGCCATCCTCACAGGTGGGTAGAATCATTCATTTGGATGCGAGCATGACTGGACTGCTGCAGCAGAATCGTTTTTCCTGTAAACCCAGGTAGAGTCATTTTTAGTCGAATGACCATCCTGCAGCTTCCATTCCACCCCAGGCGGTATTTTCACCTCCACCCTCACTCCCACCATCACCCCCCCTGTCACCTTCACTCTCACCCTCCATCCCCGTTCCCCACTCTCATCCCTCCTTTCCCCTTTACCATTTGCCTGTTGCCCCTTGCCATTCTCTCTTGCCATCCCGCTCCCCCTTTCCCCATCCATCACAGGACGGGCAAACGCTAGACCTGGCGGCGTCTTTAGACAAGCAGTCGCAGCCGTCCCAGCAGCAGCAGTTGCGGTCAGTGCTCACCATCGCCTTCCAGTTTGTGTTTGACTGCCCGGCCGCCAAGGAGGGGGTGGCCAACACAGCCCGGCAGTATGTGCGCTCAGTCGTGGGGGCCATTCAGCGGATATCCATGAGCCTCTCTCCCCCACAGCAGCAGCAGCAGCAGCAGCAGCAGCAACCGCAGATGCAGCTGCAGACGACGCAGCAGCTGCAGCAGCAACAGCAGCAGCAAATGCAGCAGATGCTGCAGCAACAACAATTACAACAGCAGCAGCAACAACAGCAGCAGCAACAGATGATGATGATGATGCAAGTAGACGGGCCTCAAGCACAGGTCCAGTCTGCCCTTTCGCAACTGCCTGGCGCAGCTGCATCAGCCTCTAATCCTGCTGCTGCCGCCGCCGCAGCTGCTGCTTTCACCGGCCTTCCCTCCTCCCTCACTGCCTCTTCCGCTGCTGCCGCTGCTTCCACGCCTCTAGGCCAACAAACACTGCCTTCCTCGTCAAATTTCTTCAATTTCGGGCAGCTGGGAAATCTCGGCCTGCCAGGGCTTCCAACTGGCGGGCAGGGAGCAACAGGAATGGGGAATCAAGGAGCGGGATCAGGCCTGGGGTTGAATTCAAACCCAGCAGCTGCTGCTGCTGCCGCTGCAGCTGCGGCAGCAGCAGGAACAAACAGTGGGGCTCTAGGGTTCCCTGGTGCTTCCCTTGCTGGCCTCAACATCCCCGGTCTTGGGGGGCTTTATTCCAATACCCCTGGATTTGGAGGGTTACAGTCCAACACGCCCTCCGGTCTCAACCCCTCCGGTCTCAACGCGTCTGGTCTAAACACTTCAGGAATCCCAGGAGGCTTTCCCCCCGGGATGAATGCAGCTTTGCTTGCAGGGCCCTCCTCTGCTGCCGCCACCACCGCTGCTGCCACTGCCGCCGCAGCTGCTGCTGGTGGTGCCACGGGTGCGGCAGCATTTTCCGCTCTGGCATCCGGCCTTGGTATTGGTTCTTTCGGCAACATGAACGGGCAAGGAGTGGGCAGTTTGAACGGGCAGGAAGGCTTGATGGGACAAGGAATGCTGGGAGGGTTAGGAATGGGAGTGGGGACACTTGATCCCAACCGCTCTCCACCTGACCCGCTCCCCTCTACTGCTGCTGCTGCTGCTGCTGCTTCCCAACCTGCTGCCACTGCTGCTGCTGCTGCTAATGCCGCTGCGGCTAATAACGCTGCGGCTGCAGTGGCAGCGGCAGGGAATCTTAGATCTCCTGACGCCCGTCCGGCCGGCATGCCCAACATGGCCGGACGGCACCATCCGTCTGCATCTGGCGCTGCTACAGTCGCTACAGCCTCTGCCGCCCGGTCTCCCAGTGGTGCTGTAGCAGCCCTGGCGGGAGGTGCTGGAGACGTTTCCGGACCTAGCCGCGTGGTTGGGGACGGCTCCGGACCTAACCGATTGGGTGGAGAGGGTTCAGCTGCGTTGGGGGTGATAGGCATGGGAATGGGGATTGGGGGAGGGCTGGGAGAGGGGAAGGGGGGAGGAATGGGGGTAGGAATGGGGGGAGCGGGAGGGGTGGGAGGGGGGAGGGAGAACGGGCGAGGGTTAGGCGATTCTATGGTTCTTGGGGGGCTGGGATCCCTGGGGAGGGGAGTGGGCGGAGGGTTTGGGGGAGGGGGCGGAGCAGGGGGAGGGGGAGGCGGGGGAGGTAGCATTGGAGGGCCGACTTTGAGTGGCGGTGGCGGCAACGGTGGTGGTGGAGGGGGAGGGGGAGGGGGAGGGGGTTCGCATGCCATGCAACTGGCGAGATGGATCGTGCAGAGCTACAAGTGAGTGCCCCTCATGACTTTTCTCTCTGTTGGGCTGTATATATTCTTGTGGCGCGTCAGAAGTCACATGGTCACATGCGATGCAACTGGCGAGATGGATCGTGCAGAGCTACAAGTGAGTGCCCCTCAGTCCCCTCATGACTTGAGATAATTTAAAAAGATGACTCCAATATACCTCATCGCCTGTTCTTCTGCGTCCGCCCATCTGCCTGCCTGCCTGCCTGCCTGCCTACCTGCCCTCCTCCCTCTTATCCCCGCCCCTCGTCTCATCATCCCCGCCATGGCAGGGTGGCAGTGGGGTCGGACCTGTCACCAGCAGCAGGAGCAGCGTTGGCAGGGGGGGACTTGTCGCGCCTGCTGAGGGTGCTGTGGGAGCATCGTGACGCCATCATTTGCATAGCCTGGCGGGTACGTCTTACAGTCTTGCTACTAACATCCACTCTAGAGCCTCTCTCTTCCCCCCTCGCGCTCGCATGTCGTCTGCTGAGGGTGCTGTGGGAGCATCGTGACGCCATCATTTGCATAGCCTGGCGGGTATGTCGCACTTCCAGCGTCCACTCTAGCTTCTCTCTCACCCTCCCTCGCTCTCTCATATTGCCTGCTGAGGGTGCTGTGGGAGCATCGCGCCTGGCTGTACACCTTTCTTTCTCGCTTTTGCAGCCTCTCTCGCTCTCTCCCTTTTTCGAGTCTCTCTCGCCCTCCGTCGCCTGCTGAGGGTGCTGTGGGAGCATCGCAATGCCATCATCTGCATCGCCTGGCGTGTATGACCCACTTGATATGTCAATGCTTCTTCCCCGTTGCCAGAGTTTACCAACAACAACAAGAAGAATAATAATAATAATTGTAATAGTAATAATAATAGTAATAATTATAATAGTAATAGTAATAGTAATAATAATAATAATAGTAATAGAAATAATAATAATAGTAATAACAATAACAATAATAATAATAATAATAATAATAAGGAATCACTATCTTTGTCTCTGGTATCCTCCTCACTCCACGTTGCCCCCTCTTGCCACATTGCTTGCACTTTGGTCAGCTGAATTCTCATATCCTTCCTTTTCCATCCCTGCTCTTTCCCATCCCTACTGTTCCCTTGCATACAGGCATCGCCAGAGCTGCTCCTAGCGAACCAATCGGGGCTGGACATGCTTGCCACGTCAGCAGCTGACCTGTCTAAGGTGCCGTGGGAGAAGACCATGGCTGACGAGGATGCTCGCTGCACTGCTGTCGCTGCCATGTCACAAGCCATACAGCAGGTGAGGTGCCATGTCAGCAGGTAAAGTGCCATGTCAGCCACCATACCGCGTGTAATTAGGGGCTGGAACAGAGAACATATCTAGTGTTTTTGTTCCAGAGGACGTGCAACTTACAAATCCTTACAAGACTTGTCGTGTCATTTTTTTTCCCACAGGGGTTTGCCTACCTTCCTCCAGGTGTTCGGCTTTCTTCACAAGGCCGTTTGGCCGCATATGAAAAAGGGGTGGTATGGCGGGTCGTTGATGATTACGGCTCCATTCACTGTATAGCATTTATGCATATTAACTGGTGCTTTCTGAGGTAGCGTATATCCAATGGCTAATTTCTAAAATGCCTGGTTAAAAGCTAGCTGCAGTGTACAATGGGTTGTGTTAAATTGGGTGTAAATAGCCGACAGGGTATATGAGGTTTTCCTATAGAACAGTGCGCTTCAATGACCGTATATCCCAAGGCTCCAGTGTTATTGTCTTATAGCGCGGACAAACTCGGTTGTGCGATGCACTCCATTCTCCGCCTTCCCTTCGCCTTCCCCCAGCTTCCGCTCTGCGGGAGTCAAGTCGGAAGGGGACCATCCACTCATCCATTTCACTTTCATTTCACTCCAGGCCACTCCGCGTTATACCTGCCCCACCGTTGTGTTAGCGCGTGTAGCGTCGCTCTAGCTTCTTGCCAACACGTCCAGTTACGAACTAAGCTTACGAACACGCTCTTTTGGCGTACCCGCTTCCATAAAAGCGCCTTTTCTTGGCATCTCGGCTCGTGGCGCGTTTGCCGACTCTCTTCGTCTGTTTACCTCTCGCTTAAGCTCGCGAATTAGCTGCTGCGCTCGCATATTCTTATTCAGAGCTCAGCTCAGCTATCCTCAAGCTTTAGCCATGGGGAACCAGGAGAAGCTCATGGACCAGATTTTCCAGCTTAAGTTCACGTCAAAGACGCTAGTCCGTCAAGCGAAGAAGTGCGAGAAGGAGGAGAAAGAGCAGAAGCTTAAGGTTAAAAAAGCCATCGAAAAGGGCAACATGGAAGGTGGCAAGATTTACGCTCAAAACGCCATTCGGAAACGCTCCGAGCAGCTGAACTACCTCCGCTTGTCCAACCGCTTAGACGCGGTTATCGCGCGTTTGGACACGCAAGCTCGCATGAACACCATCACGCATTCCATGGGAAGCATTGTGAAGGTCCTGGATTCCGCGCTCGCGAGCAGCAATCTGCAGAAGATTTCGGAGACGATGGACGTGTTTGAGCGGCAATTCGTGAACATGGAGGTGCAGTCGCAGTTCGTGGAGAACGCGATGCACAGCAGCACGGCGCTGTCGACGCCGGAGGAGGACGTCAACATGCTCATGCAACAGGTCAGTAAAAAAAAATCCGTCAGGATTTCAGTCAGAATCGGTGCCAGAGTTTGCCGTTTTCTGCTTTTGAGGCGTCTCAACACGAGACACGGGACGGGGACGTCAACACATGCATGTAGCAAGTCGGTAAAGGTGATGGTTTCCGAGACGATGGACGTGTTTGAGCGACAATTCGTGAACATGGAGGTGCATTCGCAGTTCGTGGAGAACGCGATGCACAGCAGCACGGCGCTGTCGACGCCCGAGGAGGACGTCAACATGCTCATGCAACAGGTCAGTGTTTTACTGCTCGTCGGGATCTTGGTCAGGGTTTGTGCCAGAGTTTGCCGTTTCCTGCGTCTGAGGCGTCTCAACATGTCACAGGGGACGGATACGTCAACACATTCATTTAGCAGGTCGGGTAATGGTGAAGGTTTCGCTTCAGGTACTGTTTCTTTCTAGGCTTTTCAACACAAGGCATTGGCGGCGGTCATACCCAAGCAACTTTTCTCAAAGAGTTTCTGTTCTGCTTTGATGCTTGTGCAAGTCCCACTTCTTCCTCTCACCAGTCTTTTGCCTTTCTTCTTGGGCCGCTGGTGCTGGTAAGCTCGTGTGAGCATTAGTTTTTTTTTCTTCACAACAAGGTGTCTTCATGGTTCTCATTTATTCGCAGTGTGTGGTTGTCGTTGAAGATAGAGCTCACGTCTGTCCATTTCAATTCGTTGACCAAACTCTCATTTGCCAATCCCCACTGTATTCCTACACTTTGCCAGGTGGCGGACGAACATGGACTGGAGGTGCAGATTGGTCTACCAGGTGCTGCCACAAGTGCTTTGCCAGCAAGGGAAGCGCAGACCAATGCTGAGGACGACTTGACAAGGCGATTGGCGGAACTTAAGAATAGGTCATAGAAGTGTACAGAGCATAGCAGGAGGGACGTTCATGAGGGGAGATTTTCTGGCATGGAAGCTTTAATCTTGTCACAGATGTTTGGGTACGTGTGCTGGCTGGTAGTTAGTCCAGGTATCCACACATTCTTTGCATTCTGTGTTTTTTACCTCGACTTGTAAATGTGTTTTTTATGTTGCGTAAAAGTGTCTCATGTTACGTTTCTAATCTGCTCTTCATGTAGCAATGGGTTCCTATTTCTACCTCGAGAGAGGATTCTTAGTGCAGTTGATCGTTTTCCAGTTTTTAGAGCTGAACATCTTTGGTGCATTTTGGTGTAAACAGGTTAGATGTGGGGCTTGGTTGAAGTGATTTTCACTTGTGTACCGCAAAATGACTTCTGAATATGTTCTATTGAAAGTTGCAAGCATTAGAGAAAATGGTTCGATGTTCACGGTGTACGAGCCATAGGTTGGCCCTTGCACAAGCGGGCTCAATATACGTACAGAAAGAGGGCATGGACCTTCATTTGGGAATAGAATTGAGTGTGGCTTTGGGGGAACACGACTTGACAACTGCAATTCAGAATTGTCAACGGAATGGACAAACATCACCGCAGAAGATTCACGAAGAACGTTCAACCATGGTTCAACGGTTCCTTTCATGGTCATGTAACCACAAAATTGAAGAGTATCTTTCAAACTCGTCTATATGTTACAGGGTGCTTCAATTTGCAATACTTGTGTACAGTACGTTACATCCACTCAACCCCATTTTCCAGCGATTTGTTTTCCATTTGCAATACTGTGATTGTCGGGTATGGTCCCGAAGGCGGCCCATAGTGAGTTGATTTGACATTCGTTTGCTCCGACCCAAGGTTTTTGGGGGACGAAAGAGGGTGTACTGCTGAAAAACTTTCAAACAACCTCGAGGTTTCCTAACCTATTTCCGCAAGAAGCTTGGCGAAGCTTGGGATCGCAGAGGAATCGCACGTGATCTTGGGCCTTCCGAAACAATTTCCCGCCAATTCCCCAATGCTAGTCAGGTGGCCCCACTCATGTCCTGTCGAACAAGCCCACCGAAAACTCTCATTCTGGAATTGATCGGTCGGTCGTCATGTACAGTTCTGAGCGAGGCGCGGTGCAACTCTACTGCGTGGCCTGTTTGTTTTCAATTCCGCTTCCACTCATCAAATTCCACACAGGAGAGACAGGAGTTCAGTCCATTCCGTGTGGAGTTCCGACCACGGTGCTGAACTCGTGTTTTCCACCTTTACTTGAGACGATTCTTCTTACAGAGAGGTGACCCTTTAGAGAAGGAGGGTTTCATTTTTATGAACCAGTAATTTAGACTTGAGACGATTCTAACCCGAAGGTGACCCTTCAGAGAGAAGGGTATTCTTTTTTATGAACCAGTAATTTAAGTATGTTCACGCGGGCTGACACCCCATCTTTCAACGACCTCCTACCCTCAAACCTCCAGGACCCCACATGACCAGTGGCCACCACCAGGAAGCCATTTGTGATCCATGTTTTCCATTTGTGCAGCTTTGGCAGCAAACGGAGGTGAATCAATCATGGTTCACCAGCGAGCGATGCTGCAGCGTGCCCCAACTCTACGATACAGTATATGCACAGTTCGCAACCTGACAGCGAGTTTCACGGAAGGAAAATGGGAGATGAAAGGTCCGAGAGAGTTGCTGTACTGTTACGCCGAATTCTACAGTTACTGTAGTTCCACTCCACTTCCTCCGAGGTTCTAGAATTCTTCATTTGAGAGGCCCTGTGTGACGGGGGGCGCGTGCGTCCTCCTCACCCCATCTTTCGCTCGTTCATCTCTCACCGCCAACCAAACATATCAGCGGAGTATCTTCTGTGGTACAATCGCTGATTGTTCCCCCCACTTGGCGGTATCTTCCGCCGCTCAATCAAGAGACCATCCATCAGCCAATCATGGTATCTTACCTAGAACTGTCACATCCGACTTAGCGAAGCTAACAAGTGAAGCATCTCCCTCTGCTTCGCTTGAATCTGACGCAGCTAGGAAACTCGCGGCTTTCTGCTCCCCATTTCACACACACACACACACACACACACACACCCTTGCCAAAATATGCCTTCCAGTTGCTCTAATGGAGGTTCAAGCTGGCGAATCTGAGAATCCAATGCGCTCCTCCTGCAACTACTAGCTGGCAGATTATCCTGCGTAAGGAGAGATCGGCTGATGCTAACCACGCAGCAACTCTTTTTCGTTTCCCGCGAAGTCAAATGAGACGCAGAACAGAGCTGCTCCGTTTTTTGTAACGTCCTGAAAGTTAGCAAGAACAGGAAGCTGTGAAAGCTGGAAGGAAGCGGTACGGCGTGTAACGCCTGTGGACGGTCACAGTCTATCCCAGCCCGCCGACTGTTTGCCGGCGCAAGGCGTTAGCCATCCGTTAGTGATCCCAACCGACTTCGAGTTTCATGCTCGACGATTCGTCGCGCGGGCGAGCCGCGCTTTGGCGTTGAGCTGTCTCGGCGGTTAACCTACTTTCTGAACGTCCTAAGGTAGTTGATTACTATTTGAGCTTTCCTAAGCGACGGATCGATCAGCTCAATTTAGGTCATCGACGGAACGTTTCGCAAATCCACGTTCTTCTTTAGAGAAGTTCAAGTCTCGAGTTATCGTCCTGAATGAGCCGTTACAATTCCGACCATTTCAATCAGGAACTTCGTAAACCTAAAACTGTGAGACGCGAGGAACTTCGGCAGCGTACTGATTCAGCCGCGTCCCTTCGGAACGTTCCGGCTCCAGCTTTCGCGACGCTGACGAAGTATTTTGGAAAAAATCTTGACTACTAAAGCTTCAAAGTTCCTAGATTTAGCATCATGAGTGTCCCGACCGGCTTCGCGAAGCTTCCCCCTTTCGGTACAGCAGCAGCTACGGCGGCGACGGCTGCGGGGGGGACTAAGAGGCGGGCGGAAGATGCACTAGAGGGAAGCGCAGGCAGCGGCGGCGCAGGCGGAGGCGGAAGCATAAGCGGCGGAAGTTCCGCCGGTGCGTCGCGGAGGAAGCTCGAAGCTTCTGGGCCATCCCCTCCACAATTGCCGCCGCCAAAGACGGCGCCGTCGGCGCTGCAGGGGCGTCCGCCGACTCCGCCAACAGCAGCAGCGGCAGCGGCGGCGGCGCTGGTAGCATTGGCGCCGCCGCCGGCGCTCGCGGCGCAACAGCAGGCGACGGCTGCTCAACAACGGGCCGCGGCGCAACAGCAAGCGGCGCAACGGCAGGCGGCGCAACAGCAAGCGGCGGCGCAGCAACGTCAGGCGGCGGGGATGGCGGCGCAGCAGCAGCAGCAGCGACAGCAGCAGCAGCAGCAGCGGCAGCAGCAGCAGCAGCAGCAGGCGGCGGGGGGACTGCACGTGCGCGCGCTGTGGCTGACTGTCAGTCCCACGGAGCGGTACCTACTGCTGGAAGACCAAGAGACGGGGGACGTGCTCATGCCGCTGATTCACATGCGCGTGAGTCACGCCGCTCCTCTCCTATTTTCAGGAAACTCATGCTGCTCCCCTCGCCTCGCCTCGCCCCTCCCCTCGCCCCTCCCCTCGCCCTCCCCTCGCCCCTCCCCTCGCCCCTCCCCTCGCCCCTCCCCTCGCCCCTCCCCTCGCCCCTCTCCTCGCCCAGCTACAGTCGAAGCTCTTCTCCCTCACGCGCTGTCTCGTCGCCATCTGTCCTGCCTTCGCCACCTCCGCTGTTGATGTCATGCCGCGCTCGCTCCTCCCCTCCTCTCTGCTCTCCACTCTCCTCCCCCGTCTCCTCCCTTCTCTCCTCCTTTCTCTCCTCCCTTCTCTCCTCCCTTCTCTCCTCCCTACCCTCCCCCCTCTCCCCTCCCCCTCCCTGCCCATCTCTCCCCTCTCTCGCCCATCAGAAAATGTTTGAGGCCAACTACAGTCGCAAGCTCTCGTCGCTGAAGCACCGTCTGGTTACCATCTCGCCAGACCTCGCCGCGTCCGCCGCCGCCGCGTCCGCGCTGCCCTCCCCGCCCGCGCTGCTGCAGGGCTTCCTGTACTGGCGCTGGGCGTTCGAGAGCCCGCACGAGGTGAGTGGGAGCAGGGAGTAGGGAGTGGTGGGGAGTGGTGGGGATGGCAGGGCGGGTGCGGGAGAGAGGGAAGGTCTGCTGATGAGTGCACCCCTGTTGGTGCGTGCGCTGCGCACCTGCTGCCTGCTTCCTGTTCTTGCGCTGGGCGTTTGAGAGCCCGCACGAGGTGAGAACAAGGAGAGCATGCATGCTTTTTTGTGTCAAGTCAACTGCAGTCGTCGGTGCCGACCGTTTGAGCGACGAGAGCATGCATGCTTTTTTGTATCAAGTCAACTTGCTCCTCTCTCCAGTGGCCTAATCAGTGCTCTCCTGTTGCCCTCCCTCTGCTGCCGTCCTCCTGTGCGCTCTCCTGCCCCAGGGAGGTGAAAGTAGTGGTGTGCAGTGCACCATGCCTGTCATGCCGAACCGACTCAACGAGCCGACTCAACGAGCCGACTCAACGCTCTCCTGTATTTCCCTCACCTGTGCTGCTGTGCGCCCCGTCCATCCCCACCCACGTTGAGCAAGATGCTGGGAATACCCCCTGGGGGGCCGAGGAGAACACCCCCCAGGGCCACCTGCGCCCCTGTGGAGTGGACTCAACGCTCTCCTGTATTCGCCTCACCTGCTCCGTCGTGCGTCCTGTGCTCCTATCCTCCCGCACCCACACGGCGCGCAGGTGAAGGTGTTGGTGCGCAAGATGCTGGGCGAGGAGAACACCCCGCAGGGCCACCCGTCTTAATGGTCTTTCTTGCTCCCCCTACCTGTGCTCCCCCTGCGTGAGCTCCCCCCTACCTGCGTGTGCTTGTGCACGCGTGCAGGTGAAGGTGTTGGTGCGCAAGATGCTGGGCGAGGAGAACACCCCGCAGGGCTACCGTTGTGAGCATTCGCCAAACTGTGATGCTGCGGCTTCCCTCCTCCCCTTACCCACCCGCATTCCTGCTTCCTTTGCCGCACCCATGCAGGTGA